AAAGAAATGTATATTCCCTTATGTGTTTGCCTTTAGGACAATAATTTCTTTTACTTACAGTATATTATATATTTGAGGCGTTGCATGGAGAAACTAGCACAAGCGCCACCCAGGCCACAATCATGTTTATGACTGCAAACGGTTCTTAAAACACCCTATTTTCATGAGGTGATGGATGAAGTACAAAAACGCCACTGATCATATGGTTAAATGTCCATAGACAAAAACCTAGCTCTGGTCCGTATCTCATGGAAGCGGCATTTTGACCATTTTATCATGGTGAATGTAGCACATCCGCCAAATTCTTTGTGTGAAACATACAGCCTTATGTCATAAGGCTGTAAGTGTGCTTGTGGGCTTGGAGTGGGGGTTTGGGGGTAAGAAGGGAGTTTTATGGTGGAAGCAGCCAATCAGCAAGCAGAACTGCATGCCGGGCAGGGCTGGTGGCGCACTTTTTTCAGTCCTTGTCTTGAGACTTGAGTGTGGAGGAAGTGCATCTCGTGCTAAGGGAGCGTGCTTTTCTTCATTAATATCGCTGTTTGCAGTTGTGTATTGTCACTACACAACAATGTCAAGTGACAGTGACTATGTTGATGATGTTGAGGCCCAGCCTGAACCCTCTACATCGATTGGAGGCTTCTTTCTCTTCAGTAATGTTTTATTCTCAGAAGCCACCTAGGGAGGCAGTGTCCCAGAGCCTGATGACAGTGAAGCCTCCCACAGTGGAAAAACAATTTAGGGTGTATTTTTATTATGATAATCATGATTGGAAAACAAAACATTTACCCGAGTTTTTATTACAAAAAAAAAAGGAAACATTATTTTTAGTTAGGTTGGGTTAAGTTAGGTGAGGTTAACAGTATCGTTGCAAAAAATTATTTGCATAATTTACAAACACTCAGCTTCATTTCAAAACAAACTGCAAGATTCTAACTAGAATATTTTCCGTGTTATCAACTTCTGAATGTTACAAACTTCGAACGCATTTCCTGACAAAAAATGAGAATGGTGCTTGTGCTAGTTTTTCCACGCAACGCCTCATATATACAATACAATACATATACAGTATACAATCAGAAGAAATGTATTATTGTGTAGACTTACATTTTTAATACATTTGTTTCTGATTATTTGTGAAAGGATTTTCCCATTATTATTTATTCGTATGTGTGTGTGTGTGTGTGTGTGTGTGTGTGTGTTTACACACACACACACATATATATACAATACAGGTAAAAGAAATTACTGCCTGTAGAACGAATGGCTCTCTTCTCTCATCTGTGAAAATGCCACCAACTTTAAAACTACTCTTAGGCGTTCTAGGGTACATGCAGGGTGTCATCCGCGAATAATCTTGGTTCGCGAATTAAAAATCCGTGAATTTTAAGGGATTGCTGTATTGCATATGTGTGTGTGTGTGTGTAGAGACACACACACACACAGACACACCAAAACACATACAAATAAATAATAATGGGAAAATCCTTTCACAAATAATCAGAAACAAATGTATTAAAAATATGAGAGTTTACCCTCAAGTCACCTTTGTGCTTTCTTATAACTTTAATAACAAAGCACGGAGTTGACTTGCGAGTAGACTCTCACATTCTTAATACATTTTGTTGTCTTGTTTCTGATTATTTGTGAGAGGACTTTCCCATTATTATTTATTTCTTTATTTCTATGTGTTTTGCATGTGTGACTACACAAACATACACATAAATACATAACAAACAATGTAAATAAAGTGCCTTGCATGTTCTTAATGATGTGGTGAGTATTGTTTACGTGTGTTGTAGGTAATAGTATTAGTGTAGGATTTTTTTTTTTTAGTGATATATGTGGGTGTTGGACTAACTGGGAACATATCCCAATGAACCCCATGTTATAATGATCCTGATTTACAAAATTTCAACCAGCAATGGGCTTTTCAGGAACGTATCCCATCATAACTAGGGGGATATCTGTACAGTACTGTATATGATACCTTGACTGCACAGCAGGTGGGTGTCTCTCTTTTAAAAAGTCCAGTGTAGTTTTGGATCCCATATCACAGATGGCCTGAGGTGGGTGTATGAGATCATTCCCTTGAGTGACCAAAATACACAGCTTTGGACACTCTACCAGACAGCCAGGAAGTGCTCGCAGCTGATTGTTGCTCACATTTAGTTTCTTCAACTGAAAATATGAAAATTAATACAATTGAGAAGCACAGTACAGTAGAACATATTGTTCTAAGGAAGTCATGAAATTTTGATGAACAGCAGGGTCAGAATTTCAAATAATCACCAAAACTATAATTGGTTACACTATTTGCAACATAACTGCAGTACAGTATGACAATGAAAATAACAAATTTATTAAGAAAATAAGTAAGCATATATACAGTAGTATGGTACTGTACTAGTAACAAAATGGCCTTATTTGAGCATATTTTTATTTTTACTAATGCATACTCTTTTTGTAAATTTGGGGTTTTTTCTCATAAATCAAAGTACAGTACTGTATGGGACAAACTGTTTTTCTTTTAACTTCGACTTTTTGTAAATCAACACCTCATAAACTGAGGTCTGCCTGTACTATACTGTACATACTGTAGCTATATAATTTAATGTATTTGGAGAAGGTACTACTGTAATGACCACGGTCGTACACGTAGGTTAACGTAAAATCAGACGATTCATATTACGCTCAATAGTCCACAAGACATGTAGCTATGCCTTCTTTATTGAGTCTCCCATCTGAGGCATCCGTTTTCTCATCGCTCCCAAGCTTAGGTGCCGTCCATTTTCTCTGACTTCCTGAAACCAACCTCTCTATAAAGTGAATCTGAATGTTAGAGAGAACACCATTGTTTTGAGTCAACTTAGAGATGTCTGATTACAGTTAAAGCATACAAGATCCTTTGTGAGTGATGTTGAAAGCTTTAACTGTCTTTATTATTAGTAACACTTGTTAAGTAAGTGAGTGTCGAGTTTGCCAGTACGAATGGCATCCCATGATATTGTCCCTGGGGATAGCCATGAATTTCCAATTGCTACTGAAGTTAGATTAATTTGTTGCCCAATGTAGTTTAGTTAGTGTCAGTTATCTATTTAAGAAAGCCATTAATCTCCTGAACTATTCTGTCAACCTGTATAATCTTCAAAATCTAACGTATCCCTGTGAATAGTTCCTTGTTCGCAGCCGTGCTGAGTTTGTAAAACTAATGTAAACAACGTGTGTGATTCCACTTTTTCCTGGCAAGCTCAATCTCTGATTAGATTATATGAATAGACGTAGGAAATTCGCCTGACCCGTGGCATTGAGTTTCATAGTTAAATGTACAGCAACTGAGTTGAATGTAATAATTTCTGTCGATGCGGGATTAGCCTTTCTGGCATGTGTTCCGCACAGGCCTGAGTTGCCAGTTAGCCATATATAAGCTCGTGCGCGAGGAGTAGTGTCACATCTCTGACGCTGCTCCATCATTATCTCAGGTATGTGTATGATTCTCCGCCTGCCATATTAAGTCAGTTTAACTTAGTGAATTTTGTGAATATCAGTGTTCATGTTGTAATAATGAAATTGTCATTTACCCAGTGAAAGAATAAATGTAACGTAGATATCGCCTGTCGTTGCTAGACAAAAGATTGTTTGTGATTGAGTTATTTTTGACATCTCTGACGCTGCTCCATCATTACCTCAGGCACAGTGTGTGTGTTAGCTGAATACCCAACAGTCACCGGGGGACCGGTAGCTGCACACCAGCTGGCTACCTTGCAGGATGTCGTTCATTGGGCACGATTAAATTGTGCGAGTCCGCACCCTGGGAACTAGGCCCAAACTCCCCCCGCAGTGTCGAAATACAACCAACCCTAACAGCGTTCTTCGTTTGTTGTGGTGACACCAGTGTGACAACCCTGGGGCCCTCCTTACAGTTATATGGGCCAAAGTATTATTGTTGCATGTGATTGGGGATAATTAGCAGAAATATAGTTATCCCATATTGAGTAGTGAACCCATAAATATTGATAGTACCAGTAAATATGTTATGTGAGTTGAGTACATCAACTGAAAGAAAAGTGCCATGTTGTTCATTCCGAAATAACCTGATGTTATAAGTTAATTTGGGATATTGTCAAGTGTGTCATAGAACCATCTGTATTGACAATGAAATAATATGATGATTGTTTAATGTTGTAACCAAGAACTGAAGATTTATTTTGCTACTTGTAAAAGCAGACCTGAGGGTCCAGTCCTATCTGAGCGTGTCAAATAACCATCTTAATTGTCAAAGAAATAATACAACAGGTGTTTAATGATGTAATAACTAATTGAAGATATATTTTATGAATGGTAAAGTAAGACTTAAGTGGACCAATCTTGTCTGAGTGAACTTAATTAATATCTTGTTCACTTCTTATGTTAAGAAATATTAAATTAGTAAACTACGAGTATCACCGCTCTATTCCTTCTACCCATTGGTTCTCAGAAAATAACTATTGTAACTAACGTGCCTAGACGCTCGCTAGCACGCTACCTAACAGTTCACTAAGATATGTTATATTCTTATAAAAGTCTGGGTGGTGGCAGGCTACCGTTGTAAGTACAAAAAGTGTTATAGCAAGAATGACATGGTTTCCCGGACTAATCCATGGTTTAGAATATACATAACTAGAACAGGATATAATTGGGAGAAAGTAAGGACATGAAATTCAGAAAATACAATAATATATCTGAAAGAAGAATTGAAGTAAAGAAAAGAATATTGACTTAGAAAATATAAGTAAAGAAATATAAGATATATATTTAGAGAGAGAAAGACATAGAATATGAAATTATTAAACTATATACACCAGAAAAGATTAATAGAAAATATAGATATAAAGAATTCAAGCATATAAGTATTGAAGAATAGTATAAGAAGAGAATAAAAAAGATGAAACAGGAGATAGAGGGAAAACAGACACTGACACTACTATGAAGGGAAGTTGTGGTCATGTATCTTGTAGCAAAAAAATTAAAGCCTTACAGTACAGTACACTACTCATATAAAAACCTAACACAATAAACTTCCACAGACACATACTATACTCACATTCTGAAGTTTTGAAACTGTTGTTGGAAGTTCCTTTAGATAGTTATTTGCCACATTGAGGGTGTGAAGCTGTGGCAAGCGGGTAAGAGCAGCAGGTAACATTTTCAACTTATTGTATGACAGGTCTAACACTCGTAGATGAAGAAGTAGATTGAAGGATGTTGGGAGATCACAGATCTGGTTGTGACTCACATTAAGACTCCGCAAATGAGGTACATGAATACTGAGCTCCACTGGAATCTGGATTATAAAGTAAAATTGTGATTAGAGGGATTCTATCTATCTATCTATACCATAATTATTTTCTTTATAATATTATAGTACCTGTACATTCCAACTATACACAATTCATCCTCATCTGCATTGTGTGTATCAAATTCTACAACCATTTTAAGAAAATGATTGATGGATACCATTGAGCCCTAGAAATATGGATTTAAAACACTATCCATTTTCAAAAAATTCTTGAAATTCTTGTTATATATTTTACAGGGGAATTGGGCTTTAGAGCACAGAATTACAAGATAATATTTTGTAAAGATACAAGTAGGTTTAGTTATAACCAACGAGAAGAAAACCGAGACATGAAAATAATATTACAGTACTTGTTGAATTTTATTTTTAAGTGCAGCATTTGAAAATGTATCCAGATGAAGAATATACTATACTGGGTAATCATACAAAAGACTGGCTCATGATATATGACGTTAGTGATAGAGAATATATAATTTGCTTGCAACAGATGTGATCGTCAATGTGAAAGATTCAAGAATACTGGGTTCCGGGTCCCTACAGCTCAAAGTACAGGTAGTGAAATCATGTCCACTCGGCAGAATACATGGAATTCTAATGAAAGCTTCGCTGAAATAAGAGTACAGCACTGTATATTCCTTGGATATAAAATATTATGTCATACTTGAATATTATCTGTTAATCCTAGATGATAAGAGCAACCACCATTACTTTCTCGGTCACACACAAGGTAAGGTAAATCATGAGATCAACATGGTAATCTGGGCTTAGGTCTGTGGACTGAACTTAATGAGCTGACACTGTTTCCCGTGGTAAGAAATATAGGGTAAATTGTAAAATGGAAGTTAGTCATTGAAAATGTTGGCCAGTGATTATGTAATGTCAGTGATTGACTTGCCTGCACCAATTGAAGCATATAAAATTAAAGTGTCTACAGTATTTGAGCCAACACTGAAAATTTTTAAAAAGTAATTCATATTAATATGTTTTTGTCAATACTGTATATTAAAAAAGAAAAAAAAAGAAAACATGATTAACCCTGAATTATTGAGAGTACAGTACAGGCCCCCCCCCCCAATTCACGGGGGTTAGGTTCTCAAAATGGCCATGAATCGCCAAATCCGCAAATAACATTTGCGGATGGGGGGGTGTTAAATTTTTATCTGTGTACAAAGAAATGTATATTCCCTTTATGTGTTTGCCCTAAGAACAATCATTTCTTTTACCTGTAGTATTGTATATTTGTGTGTGTGTGTGTGTGTGTAGACACACACACATACATATTTACAATACAGTATTGGTAAAGGAAATTACTGTCTCTAGAGCGAATGGCTCCCTGCCCAGCCGCAAAAATGTCAGCAAATTTAAAACTACCCACAGACATTCTCGGGTATATCCAAGGTGTCATCCGCGAATAACCGAGAACAGCCAAGTAAAAATGCACGAACTTGGGGGGGGGCTCCTGCATATTGTAATTATAAATAAACAACGGATGAAAAGCACCTGAAAAGTGTTTTAGAATACTGTACTGTAATTACATGATGAATTACAGCATACCATATTTCAAATAGTGATTCTGAGAAACTAAGATTCTAAATCCAGCTACTCACCTCATTGATGAAATTAAAACTTGCATTAACATTCTCGTACAAGGAGACATTGAAATACACCTCCCATGGAAGAGCAGACAAACAACCTTCAATAAACTCTCCAGATGTATGCTGGAAAAAGTCAGTAGCACAAGTAGTGACATACATAAAATGATATTAATGCTTATTATGAAAAAAATTTATTGGTGCAAATATCAAAAGCTAGGAAACATCCTGCAGTACATCATGCATATAATGTACTGTATATAGAGATTAAACAAGGCTTGGGGCTTTTGGGGGGAGGGTACTATCATAGTAAAACACGCATCAGTAAGAATGAACACAGTACTGTACAGTATATGCACACTCACTAACATAATATTGTACTGTATAAGATTCCCATATGTAATTTACATTCATACCATAAACTAATATACTGTATATTGTACACAAATGTAAATTGAAGAACATCAAAGTAACCACAGAAATTTTTCAGTCAGTGGACCAGGTATGACTCACCTTTATATACTGACTAGGAGTAAGTTTACAAGACAGATCCAGGCTACGGTTGCCTTCTGACCCCTCGACAGCATCTTTAACAGTGGTGTTGCCCATAACCTCTGCTCTTCTATGATTCTGCTGCTGTATTTCTTTTCAACTCTAGTGCAACAACAGTAAATACAGCACATCAGTTTTTCTTGTTAATAAAAGAATAGCTATACTGTATTGGTAATTCTTAAGTATGTTTACTTCTAATAAATATTAAAAAAGATTAACCCACACCAAGCTGGAAGGAGGTTTAAAATACTTTATAATTTTCATATTTTGGCTAGGAACTAAATTTACAATGATGACGGTGATGATTGCATTACAATATACAGTACTTAATATACACATAAAAGTATGTTGCTCTGTAATATATGAGCTCTGGTAAGACTTTTCTACTTTATCTCTGGATTCAAATCACATTCTATTTAATAATGCAAATGAGGAGAATAAATTCCTCTACATGACACTTAGGAAGAGAAAATATGTACAGTGGAGACATTTTAAGATGAAGGATAAAAAAACTGTACAGTACTTAGGATTAAAGTTGATTCATTATGTATAACAAATACTTATACAGGTACAAGACAGCACTGTATTAAAAAATACAATGTTTATATTCATAAAAATTTTGAAAACTAAATACAGTAGTGCCATTAATGCCAAATGGTAAATTTACTCAAACAAAACATAACCTGTCCTAACTTAACTTACTTGAATTAACCTAACCTATCCTAACATAAGCTAAACAGTTTTACACATGCATATACAATACAGTACAGTACACAGTTTGGCAATATATACTGTACAGTAATATGAATCTTAAGGGACTCATAATATTCAGTCCAATATCTAAGAGCTAAGAAACAAGTTTTCTTCTACAAATTTTTCCTACAGTTGCTCAATCTAACAAGTGCTGTTGTAAGCTATTACAGTATCAAGTTTTTGGCTATTACTGTACAGTACAATAATTACCGAGTAGGTGAGTACAAAGACCAGATTAGGTTAGGTTATGTTAGGTTCTATTAATTATGGTTTTAATTCTACATTTTCCCTTTGCTTCGAAGCCCTGCTCACTTTTGGTGGGGTCAAGATTGACTGGGTAGGAAGGGTCATAACTCAGTATGTTACAACATGAACATGCATATCTCTTTTTGAATACGTCAAGAGTTCAAGTCCTGCTTGACCTGGACATATGTGAGAAAGGTGTTATCCAGTGTGATCCTACCAAACATCATAGGTTACATATGGGTGCTCCGGTTTCTTCTTGTAGTAAGAGTGGATAGACCAACTGCCCGAATGGATAATAAGCTGATAAGTGGTGGTAAAAAAAAAAAAAAAATTATATACAGTCATGCGCCAGTTAACGTCCTAGATAAGTTCTTGGAAACGTGACGTTAACCGAAATGGACGTTGTCCGATCATCACATAAACTTTTCATTTATACTTACGTGTATGTGGAATACTATATACGTACATATACACTTTTACTCTTAAATCACTACTGAAATGTGATACAGGTGATTAATTTCTATCTCTTGTGCAAAATACATGACGTTTATATTAAAATTATTCACTGTTTTACAAGGATTCCAGCAACGCTGGGCAGTTGGGGGAGAGGGAGGGAGGGAGCGAGTGAGGGGGCGTGGGGGGAGGGGAGGTAGTGCGTTTGACAGTTGGCACCGGCCCAAGGTCTAACGCGTGTACCTGTATATTTATCAGTTCTTAAGTGACTAAGCTTCTCTCTTATCAAAAGCCAGTGACATGACCTGGGTGAATATAATTAACATTGTTGGGATTCTTGTAAGATACTGATTAATTTGAATATAAACATGCTATAATTTGCACTAGACATAACAATTTTAGTACTGTAATCAAATTAGTACATGTGCACTCCAGCTTTGCACTAAGGTCATTTGTTTCTTTTACGTTTCTTTTAGTATGGTGTGTGCATGTAAATGAATGAAAATAAATGAAGAAATTTATGTAAATCTACCCAAAAATAAAGTTGAAAAAATTTATATTATAAATGTACTACAGTACTGTACACTAATGTACAACAATTTTTATCTCTTGAGCAAAATATAATACATTTATATTCAAATTATTGGCTGCCTTGCAAGGATTCCAGCAATGCAAATTATAATCTCCTAACTTTAGTCTGAGATATTATATAAGATAAACATATAGAAATCACCAACCTTTTATCTTGGAACACAAGGAGGGTGGGAAGACGGGGGGGGGGGGAGGTGACAGAATGTCTGGCATTTCTTTGTTTATTTATTTGAGATAAGATTTGACAGTTAGCGCTGAAGGCCTGCCTGCGTGTTTATTTATCATTACTTAAGAGTGACTAAGCTCTTCTCATAATTTGCCACCCAAACGAACTGGGTGAATATAACTTACATTGGAGGGATTCTTGTAAGAAAGTAATTTATTTGAATACCTGTATAACCAAGCTATATTTGCCATAGACATAACAATTTTAGTACCGTAATCATTTAGTACATGTACAATACAGGTTTGCACTTAGGTCCATTGTTATTGTACAATATTGACTAAATTCACTAGATAACGTACGCCTGGCCGCACAATCTATAAGAATACGCGATGCATACATGACTGTGCCCGCTCTAGGTCTATTTAGGTTCACTAGGTCCCATTATTTGAATGTTATTTATTTTTAATTTAAATTTTAATTGTTTATTCCTTGATAGAGGAAGCGAGATCCTAGTGCTGTCACTTGGTACCCCTGTACCATAACACCAGAAGCAACTGGCCAGTCACAAGTATATACAGTGGGGTATGCTATAACGAACGGATCCTACTACGAATATTCCTATAAAGAACGGTTTTACCTATAAAATTGAGAATGCTATAACGAACGAAACTCCTACAACGAACATTATTTAATTTATTTATTTATTTTTTTTTTAATTTATTGTTTTTTTATTACAAATGTTAATGATATTCTTTATTTCAGGGGTTCAGATGCATATTTATGCACTTTTTTACAATTTTTACAATTTTATATTATATTTTTCAGTGTTAAGTGGTTGTATTTGGGGGCCTGGAACGGATTAATCCTATAACGAACGAATGCTATAACGAACAAGGTTCTAGAACCAATTAGATTCGTTATAGCATACCCCACTGTACAGTACAGTACAGTCATCCCTTGGTTATCGCGCCTAATTGGGAGCCCGCCGATAACGAAAGTACAGAACCTATGGGATTTATTATAATTGGTTCCAGACACCCAAGAGCTAACCCCAAGTTTCCCATTTTACGACCATTTATACCCACTATATATATATATATATATATATATATATATATATATATATATATATATATATATATATATATATATATATATATATATATATATATATATATATATATATATATATATATATATATATATATATATATATATATATATATATATATATATATATATATATATATATATATATATATATATATATATATATATATATATATATAATGTTATGGTAAATATCATAAACACACATAGGCATGGCTAGGTTTATTACAAAGTGATGAAAAGGGTACGCTTAATACTGTAGTCCACAAAACATGTAGCTATGCTTTTTTATTTGGTCCCCCGTCATACGAGTCCGTTTTCTCTCACTTCAGGACGCCTGAGTCCTCCGTTTTCTCTCTTAATCTTAGAGTGCACCAGAGACTTCGTTATTCCTTAGTAATGCCACAGAATTTGAAATTGCAACCCCAATTGCAACTGGGGTTGCAATTGTTGAGGCAACTAGATATGTCTGATTACAGCAAATGTGTTATTGTCAATTTGTAGGTGAAAGATTTTATCCTCAATAGATGTAGGTTAACATTACACCTGAGGCAAATGCTTAAAAAAAGCCTAATCAAGGAAGCATATTCCTTTAACACATAATATCTGACCAGTATGGGGAGGATCATCGTGGTTCGTCAGGGGGTCAGGGAGTGGTGGTCCAGCAGGCGTCACGGATTTTTTGGGTGGAGGGGGCAGACGATATGCGATCGGACTTTGTTAACCGCGATGACTCCTGTGTGTCATATATATATACATCGCACTTCGCGACGCGGGCGCTTACGCCGTAATCTACATTTACGCGGTACCTCGCCAGAACCGGACTTTCATTTTACGTGGTGCATCTACTCATATACGCGTAGAGTGTCTGGTGCGACGCTATTTTTAGATTCGACACTCCCGCCTTCTCCCGCTTGGGCAAGCCGCGCGGGTAGGTTGCGCAGTGGATGTCTCTGTTGCGTTATCGGTGATGTCATATGACGTATCAGACTGTGATTGGGCCACGCATCCTTACCTCCCTCCGCCACTAGCTGTGATTGGTTTAAAGTAATATGACGTGTCCACCCGCGGGAGGTGAGGAAAGACGATGCTTGACCTAGCCGCATCAGTTGCATCCCTCCAGGCCACACTGTGTAAACCAGTATCCATTGTTCTGTAAAATGGCTTCCACCGGACCACCGCCCCCAGAGAAAAACCTTGCATTACCTGGACCCAGCCGCCCTAAGCCAAAGAAGATACGACGTTCCCTAAGCTACGAAGTGAAATACAAGACAATTCAAGAGTTGGAGAAAGGAACACGTCAAGCTGATCTCGCGCGCCAGCATGGAGTCAACGAATCTATGATTCGTACTATTAAGAAGGATGCAGCCAAGATCAAAGAACACATGAGAATCACAAAGTC